GAACGCATCTGTAACGTCACACGGCGTGGGGATGAGATCTGGACAGTTGGATCGCTGGGCATGCGAATCGCTCGCGTGGCTTCTTGCGTGGTGCCGATGTCAGCGGGGTTGCTATGCGGCGTACTCCAGTTCGCCAGGACTGCTGACTGGGCCGTCTTACGTGGTTGGACTCTTTTTTTTTGCATTTTAACCCGTTGTTTTTAATTTTTCTTTCAAAAATAACCCCCAAATTCAAAATTTCACTCATTTTCTTCAAAATTGCTTTCAATTTCGTCCATAATTTATTTTTCTCAAAAAATTCAATAAAACTAAATTAAAATAAATAAAATTACTTATTTAAATATGTTTTTAAAATAAGAAAAATCATCTCGGGCTGATTTTCGAGCCCGAGTATTATAGTAAATGTGAATTTTCAGATTTTACAAGAATTTTGTATCATTTCATATTTGATTACACAAAAGTGTTTCATAATTTTTATTTTCTAATCTATTCATAAAATATATATTCTTTAGTTAACATAATAGTAAAATAAATAAAAAGTTTTAATTTAAAAAGTAAAATAAATCATGCAATTTTTTCTAAATTATTCATATAATAGAATGTAAGAAGTGATTTAATGCTTTTTCCAATCTTCTTAGCTTTTTTATTTAATAAAAGTGTTAACAAGAATAATTATAATATTTTTATTCATTTTCTCATATATATATACACTTAGCTTTTAAACTATTGAAGTTCTATCAAATATTATTATAAGATTTCTTGGAGTAGTTTTTCAAAATGTTATAAATACATGGTATGACATAATTAAGATAGTGGTATATTAATTGATATTGTATCATTATATTCATGTGGGTCCATTAAGAATCATCATTATATATTTCATCCACTTTTTTGTTAGATAGTAGAATCACATTTCTTAACCTTGGTTTTTTTTTTCCTTTGATTAAAATTTATATATTTTGTGTATATACATATGTTATAGAATTGAGATATTATATGCACAATAATTAAAGTTGATAGGGATGCATCATGCCACTTCCATTGTAAGGTTTTGGAAGATTAGTTAATAAAAAACAAATGGTTTAATTTGTACTATGAAATCAAAAAGATTTCTTTATAATTATATAAAAATAATATACGTAAATAAAAATCTTATAGAAACAAATCATTTTTAATAAAAATGTAAAATTATAAAAAAATTATGTAATGTATAATTTTAGAATTCATAATCAATAAACAAATTTAACTATACAAGTAGTATATATTTTTAATTTAATTTTATCAATTATATATGCATATTATTTTTTTGAATAAAAATTTATAGACAATTATTATTATATTTTTCATATTAGTTTTATTCTTTTAATTCTAAACTTATACTAAGTGCAAACTTTTTTAAAAAAATAAATAAAAATATCACGTGATAAATTTCCGTTATATATGTATTAATTATAAGCGTCTTACTTGTATTGTCTAAAAGCATGAAATTTTACACGTGATTGGTATTTTAACATATATAAATATAAAAGCTGATTATTGAACCAAAAAATAAAAAAAAGAACCAATAACGAAATATGTATTCCTTTTAGAAGAAAACAAGGCAAGTTAGCAAGTTGGTTCACGTAACGGTGGAGATAGAATTATGGTTGAAAGAGAAAGTGGGAAATTTTTTAACCTCTCAAAAGCCCCAAGTTCTTATTCTTCCATATGTGTTTGTATGTGTACACACATATATATATATATGTATGTACATATGCATATAACCTTATCTCCTTAGCTGGGCCGAAGACTATAAGAATAGTCAACACATGAACACTTGTCTTATATCTGCAGGCTGATATATCAAAAAACATCAAAAAAAAAAAAAAAATCAGATCTTAATTGGCCATATTGTAAATCAATCACTAAAAGCTTAAAGTTGTTTCTTTTTTACTAAAACAAATTAAAAGACACACACTCACTCTTGTTGTGTTTTCTTCAAACCCACTTTGAATTACATGATTTTAAGATACATAAAAGTATATATAAATTATTTATAAACGAGGAATGAACGTGGACTAAAGATATTTTTCAAAATGTGTATTTGGTTTTTTTAATGAAGAATTATTTGTATTTGTTTGTATAAAATATTTAGCACTTGGGTGGTTAGGAAAATGATGTTGTTCTACAATAATGACTTCTGCCATTTTTAGCCGAATTCTAAAACCAATCGTCTTCACACAATTATTATTATTTTTTTAAATTACGTGTGTGTATATATATATATATATATATTACTAATTACCCTTTTAAAAATATTTGGTTTTGCCTGACATCATGTGACATCACTTTGGGTTTTTATATATTTCTATAATAGCACAAATATTCTAAATGAAATTTTTTCTTCATCAAGATATTTTCCTAATTACCCTTTTAAAAACATCTTTGTTTTTTTTTTCCCATGACATCATGTGATAGATATCGCCACAGTATTACACATTTCTGTAATAGCATATATGTTCTTTTCACACACATTTGCATTATTCTACATCCTGTAGGTCATAAACAGGGAAATTGGCAACTGTTATCCTACTAAAAGTAGAGATTTAATTGATGTTTTTGTACATAAAATACAAACTAGGATTGAGCTAATTGAAAACTTTTGAGACTGGGATCAATTTCGTTGAGTTTTTCTTTCCACAAACAAACATCTAATTTCTATAAACTGGATGAAAGTTTCTCCAGTAAGATTTATAAACTCCTTCCATCAACGGCGTAATTAGCAACACTGTTAATTTCATTCAATATTTTTCTATTTTTAGGATTACATTATAAGTCATAATTAACATTAAAAATATATTGGAAGAATTTAATTCTTTGTTTTTTTTAAAAAAAATAATAATAAATAAAAATGTTGCTAAGCAAAAGGAAAATGAAATTTCAGTATATCATTCATGGAATGTGCTTCGTTGACCACATCCGAAAATGGCATTTGTGTAGGTAGAGCAACATCAGGAAATCACAAGGGAAGGTTAGGACCAGAATGTACTTGTCGAATACTCAATTCTTTACCCTTCAAAACAATAAAATTATTTCTAATAATCATTAGATGAGAAATGAAAAAAATTTAGAGATTTTAATGTCAGCGAAGGTGGGTTAACGTTGATTATGTATAAAATTACAGAAATATGTCCGAATTTAATAAATAAAAATAGATTTCTACATGATACAACAACAATTTAGGGGAAAAAGGAAAGTGATGAAGCAATGGGGTGTAGAATTAAAGGGTGGCAGGTGACTGTCAATTTTTAAACATATACATACGAAATGCCCTTTATGACTAGAACACATTCCCAAATCCAAATACAGGTAAAATAAAACAGAAAACAGTAGTTCACTTTTTTTTTTTTTCCCTTTTATATAATAATTGCATGTGCAAAGACAGAGAATAATTGTTAAGAAAAAATGCCAACCTGTTGTTTCTGTATCAACTTGCTAAATATTCAGAATGCACCGATCTTCAAATAGGTGTTCAGAATAAAAAAAAAAAATAGAGAAAAGAACTACAAAAATTCCACAGAGGATATAAATATTTAATTAAAAAATTTAATTCATACGCTGAAGAAGAGTAATGGTCAGCACGAAATTAGGGGAGATAGTCAGTTGCTTTCAAAATAAGCAATGTAGTTGCAGATCAATTATGTCAGATTAGTTAATTTGATTCTTTACGATAATAAATGTATAACCACGGGATTCAATAATTAAACATTAAGCTATACATATAAAAATAAATGCAATCCTACAATAAAAGATACGCATTAAGCAATAGTTGTCACCGTTGACCGGCATAATTTGTGGGATGCAACTTGCTGATTGACGATCAAAGAGTAATTAAAAATACATAACAATCATCATGAGATCATGAAAAATGATTTTTGGAATCTAACTACAATCCAATAGTCTGATAAAGAAACATTCAAACATCGTCATATTATTGGGTAGCAATGGAAGGAAAATAACTAGCAACGCACCAAATAGATAAGCATATGCCAACATAAACTTCAGATTCATCCAAGAGTTCAAAACTAACTCTAGCCAATTTAGAAAAATGAACGGCTTTATCGGTTGAATTGGATTCAATAAACAAGCTTATACATAAGTATTTCGTTTTTCCTACGTTCATATTTTAAAAACAAGAAGCACCTTGAGAAGTCTACATGACAGTCAGGAAGTGACCTCACCTCAAGAAGCCATTTTATGATTCATCTCTTTTTAGTTTTTGTTTCTGCTTTCTTCGCTGTTCGTGCAAACCTGTGAGAGAAAATGACTGAAATAAGAAATGTTGTATTTCCAGAAGATGCTGGATGAAGGAAAAGAAGACAAGGGATTCTTAAGAAAAAAAGAAGAGTAGACAGCAAAAGAATACGTTTCTTCTCCTCTTTTCTTTTCTTCCTCAGATTCTCCATATTTTTACGCTTTTCTGCCATCTCGTTCATATACATAACCTGAGCAAAGACAACGATGACATACATGAAAAGTTGGAAGTAGACGACCATAAAGAACACAGACACACCACTGGATGTATGCAAGCCAATTCACTGACATTCAGCTGTAAACTACATTGCTACAAAAAGACAAGTATTTTCTTTTTGCCAAAAAAAGTACTATTTAAGTAAAGAAACAAATAATTATATAGAAGATAACAAGATATCTCCTCAAATCTACAATTAAAAGGTACGAAAAACAAGAGACAAATAGCATAAAAAATGAAACAAAAGCTACACATAGCCCTAGTCTTGAGGATCACAAGACTGTCACGTCCCAGTTCCTAGGAAGCACAGATAGGGCAATATCAAGAAATCGCTCATGAGCTTTTGCCTAAAGTATGGTAAAAAATGTCATCCTTTCCCATCAATCCTTGCTGGACAAAAATAATCGTCAAAGACATTTCAAGCCATAGAATCCATAACCACGAGAAAATCATCCCTCTCTACAGGGGTCTGGCCAACTTCCGAATCCACTCCCAATGTATCCAGGAACTCATGAAGCACTCCACTGTAGGATGAGTGACCAAAGCTAAACCAAACAATACTGTCCACAATTTTCCAACGTGTCACAGCATAAAAACAAATGGGAGAGATTCCCCCCTAACCAAACAATTTCCAGGGTATCACAGTGTGAAAACAAAGAAGAGTGGACCCCCCACCCTCCACTGCACAAAACTCCCACCTCCACAAAATAAAAGAGGAAGTTCATTACTTGGCTTAGTTTTAATTTGTTTTTGAAGGGAATGAATAAAAGGTACCAATATGGCCCTGTTCCCAGCTCAAAACAAATAAAGTAATCAGGATGGCATCTTTCCTAAAAATCTTATCAATGATTTATCAGATAACTCTAATGGGAGGAGATGATTGATTAACTTGGATCCTTTTCATTGGCAACTAAAGAGGGCGGGTGGGTATGGCAGGTCAAAAGAGCTACGGGGGAAGGACAAAAACAGAAAGGAAAAGAACTAGCATAACTATCACCTAAAATTCAAATCTCAAAATCCCAAAAATAGTGTTGAACAGAAGGTCCGACCTGGTTTGTGTTTTTAGGTAATTCCGCCTACGGATTTTGTATTATAGGTTACTCCTATCCTTCTATACTAATATCAAAAACTTAGCACATGGAACAAACATTTTGATATAGGACAAAAAGAGCTTTAAGATAAAATTTAGAGAAATTTCATTAAGAACCAAAATTTAGAGATCTTGATCTCTATAATCAAAACAATATTTATTTATTTGAATAATAATCATAAATAGTCTATTAAACAACTAAACTTGAATATCTTATTTGTAGGTACGAAAATAAAATTAAAATAGAAAATGTAAAAAATAGGAAAATAAGATAAATACAAAGAACTAGTAGAGAATAATAAGAAATATAATACAAAATAAATGAAGACAATAAATATTTTGGGAAGTTTTACACTAACAAAAAAAGTAGAAAGGTTTAATTTCCTTTTCTTCATCAATTTAAAGCCAAATTAACCCAATTATTGATATGGCTTCAAATTGATGAAGGAATTGGAAATGCTAGAAGGAAAGGGTCTAACATTATATAGTAATAACAAGCCTGCAATCAGTAACACCCCCGACTGGTAAGTGTTAACAAGACAAAATATACTAAGATTGATTGGCGGTTTATCAAGGAAAAAATAAATTGTGGTATCCTAGAGATGTTTCCTTTATTCTCTGAAAATCAGGTTGCTGATGCTTTCACTCAAGAGCTTAGCAATAAACTTTGATGGACTGATTTACAAGATGGGCATGAGGGGCATATATACACCATCTTGAGGGGAAGTGTTGACTATCTAGGTACTAGTTTAATATTGTGATATTTCTCATTTATGTGCACTTTTCTGTTCTTGCAGACAGAATTTCCTATTATGACATCCTGTATATATGTATATACGTGTATTATGAATAATAGGCTGTATATAAAGCAAAAGAAGATAAATTTCTATGTTTTTCTCCCCTCTGGTTCGGCTTCGGCTTAATCAACAGGAAGAAAGAATAAGCAGTTTTAGTAACTTTTTTTATCCCATATATATATATATATGTATTATGAATAATAGGCTGTATTCAAGCCAGAAGAAAAATAAGATTTCTATGTTTTTCTCCCCTCTAGTTCAGCTTCTGCTTAATCAACAGGAAGAAATAATAACCAGTTTTAGCAACTTTTTCTTAATCCTCACTATGAAACAAAAGACATCCTACATCCACTCATTCTGCCAATATCATGCATCCCCTGAATACCAAAACATAATTTTGTCATCAATAAACTCTGTTGTCAATTTTCCGACAAAAAGATGTAGAAATCATCCAAATCCCAATTAACTCGCCAGATTTTGGAAACTGAACTATTATAGTTTGAAAGAAATATAAAGGACATCAGCATCCAGACAGAATCCTAAACTTCCTTCCCAATATTCAACACATCAGCACAATACAAACAGAAAGACATACAATCATAATATTTTTCACCTACATTGAACATAGCAGCACAATAATGACAGGAAAGAGTTAACATCGGCAAGAGCAATTAATGAGGAAAACAAGAAAGAATTTAAACTCATACCTCATTGCCAGCACTTCGAAGAGCCTGAAGAGGTTCCATGCAATCCTGACCAATAACCGCCAATTTCCTTCTTTTGTTTTCTGTCCCACTACTACCATCACCTAATTTGTGCCTGGCCAATTCCTCAAACTGGTGCTGCAGAAGGGATGAAACACCAGCCTGGATGACAGGGAAAAAAATACGATTGTTAAATTATTCAGCTTTTGATGTTTCATGGTAATTAATGCACATAATAGAGCAATATGTCTTCATACTGTAACCCCAAGCAAGCACAAACCATTCAATAGCATCCACGCTCATAATTATAAGAAATATTCTAGTACTACTAGGTTCTTTACATTCAATAGCATCCATTAAGTGGAAAATATTAGTATCCTAATCGCTTCCTTCAATGATGTAACACTCGAGTGCCTCCAACTTATCTTGTCCAGGTCAACAACTTGGTGATATCCTTTTTCTCACATTCATCCTCTTGCAGACCACAAAACTCCTCCATTTTGTCCAAGTCTCAAAAGTAGCCAACAATTCATCTCGCCAAGAGTCACTGAGAACCTAACCCTTCCTTACTACAATATTTCACCCTTCTTTCAACATGAGCTAACTGAACAAAATCTGGAAACTGGCAGAGCCCACAGGGTTTTCCTCCTTTAATCACTTAATGACCAAAACTTTGAAAAATCGATCGTAAGCCACAAATTTTCAAATTTGAACAAAGCCAACCCCTATCTAAGAGCATTAAGGTTCAAACAAATGGAATAATTGTCGAATGTGGACCTGGTCAATCTAGATAGCATTTAACCCGAGAAAGATTCTTCCATAGCAAATGAGATCGAGAAACTACCAATGTGTAAAAATGAGGGATTATCCTTATCACCAGACCAAGTCTGCCTGCCACCCTTTGAAGGAAGATCCATGAGATTCAAGTTACAGATAATATCTATAAATTCCTTAACATAGAAAACATGCTTCTCCCTCTAGGTCTTTTCTAAGGAAGTAGATTAAAATCGCCCCCGATAATGCAAAAATCATTTTAGAACTTATTAGCCTGCTTAGAGTCCTCCCACTATTTATTCCTCTCTTTCCCTTTGCCTTTTCCATACAACTCTATAAAACTTCATTTGAAGCCAGTGTCCTCGACCAAGACATCACTGACACCAGCCTATCTCTCCAATAAATGGTGATACTGCCAACAATCCCATCTGCAGGAAGGTCTAACCAACCAACATCTCTTGCCCCACAAAATCTTTCAATCACAGTATTTAACATATTCCAAGTATGGTAGACATCATATCACCGTCCTAATTCTATAGTGCCCCCTTTTAGCACATTCCTCATGGTGGCACGGTGGTTATTTGGCATTCCATGAAATAATTTTACAAACTCAATAAGATACTTTACATGGTACAATACTCAAAATTCATTTGTTAGCCTTGTTTTTCTTTTTTCTTGAAATACCAAGGCTATAGAATAGTATTAATAATAACGTCACGGGGGCGCCATCCATGTACAAAAAGTTTACATTTCAATCAAAGTGTCAATAAGGTCCCCTGACTCCCCCATCAAATGAGGAGAATGATCCATTAACCAAAAATCAAGGGTTTAAAATCATCTACTTTTAAGTATGTCAAAACCATCCACATCATCTACCCTCTCAAAAGCTCTCCTATTCCTGTCATTCCACACAACCCAAAAATAGTAAGTAGAATTACATCCAAATGCTTCCTCCTACCCTTAACACCCTTCCATGCCCAAATTTCATCTCGCACCGGTCCCACCATCACCCAACTTATACCAGACAACCCATAAACCCCAGCCCAAAACTTATAAGCGGCACCAAAGCAAAACATGATTACAAGTCTCTTCTGCCCTCTTACACAAAAAACAAGCGTTAACTAAGATCTTAACCTCTTCCTCAAATTATCAATAGTCAGAATGGAACCTCTGCTGGTCTCCGGGCAAAAAACAAAACACAGGGTGGAACCTTAGCATTCCAAATTTGCTCGATTGGGAATCTTACATCATTATCTTCATATCTGAAAAAATGCTTGTAGCAA